GACCTTGATTTCCAAAGGAAATGCAAAATTTACTGTAATCAGAGAACGTAACTTTGGACCACTCAGCAGCAGTCCCAGGAGAGATGCTTCTGACGCAGTCTCTTGTTCAAGAGTGGCTTGACCTGGGGAATGCGGCACCTGTAGCCCATTTCCTGCACACGCCTGTGCACGGTGGCTCTGGATGTTTCTACTCCAGACTCAGTCCACTGCTTCCTCAGGTCCCCCAAGGTCTGGAATTGGACCTTCTCCACAATCCTCCTCAATGTCCGGTCACCTCTTCTCGTTGTGCAGCGTTTTCTGCCACACTTTTCCCTTCCCACAGACTTCCCACTGAGGTGCCTTGATACAGCACTCTGGGAACAGCCTATTCGTTCAGCCATTTCTTTCTGTGTCTTACCCTCTTGCTTGAGTGTGTCAATGATGGCCTTCTGAACAGCAGAGGACCTGTATATGTATATATACTTATATACATATATACATATACGTATATATACATATATGTATATATACATATATACATATATGTATATATACATGTATACATATAAACATATACGTGGTCTCAAATGGTGTCCCCATTGAGTTTGTTGATTCCTATAAATATTTGGGTATCTTGGTCGACTCACATCTCTCTTTAAAGCTCCATGTGGAAAACTTGGTAAAGAAACTGAAAGTTAAACTGGGTTTCTTTTTCAGAAACAGATCCTGTCTAACCCTGAATGCTAGAAAACGCCTTGTATATGTGACTTTCCTTCTCTCCATTGATTACCGTGACATTATTTACACGAACGCTCCTACAAGAACCCTGCAGATGTTGGATGCTGTCTATCACGGTGAACTAAGATTCATAACTGGCTGTGATTATCGTACCCACCACTGCACCCTGTATTCACTGGTTAACTGGACATCATTAACTTCACGCAGACTCTCTCACCGGTACATTTTCATCTTTAAATCACTTCTTGGTCTGCCTTCATACATCTCCTACTTCATGTCTCTGCGTGAGTGCAGCTGCGGCATGCGCTCTCAGAACATTATTACCTGCAGTGTTCCCTCAATGAGAACTGAACTAGGCAAAATGGCCTTCTCCTACTCCGCTCCTGTTTCCTGGAATATCTTACAAAAAGATTTGACGCTCTCGACCTTGACCTCTCTATGTGGCTTTAAGAATATGTTGGACTCCTGGCAAGGACCAATGCAGACATGTTCCTGTTTTTAGTTTTCTACATTCGCCTTATACAGGTCCTTGTCAAAAAAGTAGCATATTGTGATAAAGGTCATTATTTTCCATAATGTAATGATAAAAATGAAACTTTCATATATTTCAGATTCTTTGCACACCAACTGAAAAATTTCAGGTCTTTAATTGTTTTAATACTGATGATTATGGCATACAGCTCATGAAACCCAAAATGCCTGTCCCAAAAAATTAGCACATCATGAAAAGGTTCTCTAAACAAGCTATTAACCTAACCATCTGAATCAACGACGTAACTCTAAACACCTGCAAAAGATTCCTGAGGCTTTTAAAAATTCCCAGCCTTGTTCATTACTCAAAACCACAATAATGGGTAAGACTGCCGACCTGACTGCTGTCCAGAAGGCCATCAATGACACACTCAAGCAAGAGGGTAAGACACAGAAAGAAATTGCTGAACAAATAGGCTGTTCCCAGAGTGCTGTATCAAGGCACCTCAGTGGGAAGTCTGTGGGAAGGGAAAAGTGTGGCAGAAAACGCTGCACAACGAGAAGAGGTGACCGGACCCTGAGGAGGATTGTGGAGAAGGGCCAATTCCAGACCTTGAGTGACCTGCAGAAGCAGTGGACTGAGTCTGGAGTAGAAACATCCAGAGCCACCGTGCACAGGCGTTGCAGGAAATGGGCTACAGGTGCCGCATTCCCCAGGTCAAGCCACTTTTGAACCAGAAACAGCAGCAGAAGCATCTCACCTGGGACTGCTGCTGAGTGGTCCAAATTTATGTTCTCTGATTACAGTAAATTTTGCATTTCCTTTGGAAATCAAGGTCCCAGAGTCTGGAGGAAGAGAGGAGACACAGAATTCACATTGCTTGAGGTCCAGTGTCAAGTTTCCACAGTCACTGGGGTGTCATGTCAGCTGCTGGTGTTGGTCCACTGTGTTTTGTCAAGCACAGGGTCAATGCAGCTAGCTATCAGGAGATTTTGGAGCACTTCATGCTTCCATCTGCTGAAAAGCTTTATGGAAATGAAGATTTCATTTTTCAGCACGACCTGGCACCTGCTCACAGTGCCAAAACCACTGGTAAATGGTTTACTGACCATGGTATTACTGTGCTCAATTGGCCTGCCAACTCTCCTGACCTGAACCCCATAGAGAACATGTGGGATATTGTGAAGAGAAAGTTGAGAGACGCAAGACCCAACACTCTGGATGAGCTTAAGGCCGCTATCGAAGCATCCTGGGCCTCCATAACACCTCAGCAGTGCCACAGGCTGATTGCCTCCATGCCACGCCGCACTGAAGCAGTCATTCATGCAAAATGATTCCCGACCAAGTATTGAGTGCATAACTGAACATGATTATTTGAAGGTTGGTGTTTTTTGTATTAAAAACACTTGTCTTTCATTGGTGGGATGAAATATGCTAATTTTTTGGGACAGGCATTTTGGGTTTTCATGAGCTGTATGCCATAATCATCAGTATTAAAACAATTAAAGACCTGAAATATTTCAGTTGGTGTGCAATGAATCTGAAATATAGGAAAGTTTCATTTTTATCATTACATTATGGAAAATAATGACCTTTATCACAATATGCTACTTTTTTGAGAAGGACCTGTAATCTAGCTGGTTTTTTTTTGTTACTTTTTTAGCCGTCCTATTTGTTAAAAAAAAAAATTGAGTATGACTTTTTATAACTGTTTATTGTTGTCGCTGGTAAATCCCATTGAGCCTCGAGGACTTATTTACAAGAGAGACGCGATTTCAACAAAGAATTATGACGATGGACAACAGTCACTGACTGTGAGAGGCAAAGGACACCCTGGACAGGTCTCCAGTCATCACAAAAAACATTATTGCACTCAAAAAACATTTGGTCATACTCTGCAGTCCAGCCATGTATAGATATTTTTCAGACAGAGAGGAATATAAAAAGAACAGCAAAGATATTAAACATTCATCAATGATAAAAAACACTGAAAAGAAGAAAGGTTTTTATTATGATAAAAATGAGTTGTAAGTCATCATGCTGTCTCACCTTGTTGGTAGCCTGTCCTATCATATGGGGTGGCGATGAGGGAGTCAGCAATGGACACCCTTTGCTGAAGGAGGGTGGATATAAATTCCAGCCCCTCTGGTCCCAGCAGTTCAAACAGCTGGCGGATAGTAAGAACAGAAAGAGTGTTACAATCAGTAGCTACACACATTACAACACATATACATGGTCTATGGTTCACAATCAACACCAACACACTGCTATTGTCAAGACTGAGCACCTGGTAATTTCCATCTACCTGTTTCAGAATATGCTGTGCTGCTAAGCCTCCCAAACGTGGCCACCTGCCAATTAGCGACTAACAGAAAATTAACAACAAACACTGCTTAAAGCAGCAACACAAACTGACTGAAGAGCAGAGAAAAGTACAGCACAACAAACAAAACTGTGACATTAGGGTAAAAATAAAAGCAGTGTGTATTTTCTAAATGGAAGACATAAGCTATGGAGGACAGTGGGGTGGAGTTAAGACATAAGGCTGACATGTGGCTGAGTGCTTAAAGCAGTTGTCCTCCAATACAAGAATTGGGGGGTTGAATCCACCAGCAGTCAAATGTCGAAGTGTCCCTGGGCAAGACACTGAACCCCTCATTGCCTCTGATGTGTGTCACTTCGGTGTATGGATGTGATCTAAAGCACTGATTAGTCTCTTTAGAATGATTTGTTCAATTAGATTTGTAGTGATGTAGAGTGCTGTATGAATGGGTAAATGATGCACAGATTGTAGTGTAAAGCGCTTTGAGTATCATGAAATAGGATAGAAAGGCGCTATATAAGTACAGTCCATTTACCATTTAAAAGGCAAGTTTATTTTGTCCTTCCTTTTCAAGTTGGTTTAGAATGAAGAGACAAGTTGCTCTTTTAAGCCCCCAGTATACTCCCGCGTACGTCCATACGCAGAGGTACGAGTATATGAGTATAATGGGGGCTTTAGTCCCATATTCAGATGACATTGTGATCTGTGGTGAGAACAGGGAACAGGTGGAAGAGAACTTGGAGACGTGGAGGGTATGCACTTGAAAGAAGAGGAATGAAAGTCAGCCGTAGTAGGAGAGTACATGTGTGTAAATGAGAGGGAGGCTGATGGAACAGTGAGGATACAAGGAGCAGAGGTCACAAAGGTGCAGGACTTCAAGTACTTGGGGTCCACTGTCCAGGAAAATGGGGAATGTGGTAAAGAAGTGAAAAAGAGAGTCCAGGCAGGATGGAGTGGATGGAGAAAAGTTTCAGGAGTGATTTGTGAGAAAAGGGTGTCAGCAAAGGTCAAAGGAAAAGTTTACAAGACAGTGGTGAGACCAGCTATATTGTATGGTCTGGAGACAGTGGCATTGACTAAAAGACAGGAGAAAAAACTGGAAGTGGCAGAAATGAAGATGCTAAGGTTCTCCTTAGGAGTGACAAGGCTGGATAAGATTAGGAATGAGATCATCAGAGGTACAGCACAGACTGAACAATTGGGAGATAAAGTTAGGGAGGCCAGACTGAGATGGTTTGGACATGTCAAGAGGAGGGACCGTGGGTATATTGGTAGAAGGATGTTGGAAATGCAGCTGCCAGGAAAAAGACAAAGAGGAAGGCCAAAGAGGTGATATATGGATGCAGTTAGAGAGGACATGAAGGTAGTTGGAGTGCGGGCAAAGGATGCAGAGGATAGAATGAGGTGGAGGAGGATGACTCGCTGTGGCAACCCCTGAAGAGGGAAAAGCCAAAAGAAGAAGAAAGAAGAAGTCCCATCTTCCTATGAAAAAGAGAAACAGCCAGGGCAGTGTAAAACAAACACCACATACTGTGATTTCAGGTTGTGTTCCAAACTTCGATCAGGTTCTGTCTGCTTTATTAAAGCAGAACGATAGTTGTGAGAGAAAAGGAGGGTACAAAAACTAAAGCAAGGTTTTCACCTGCAAGTATTTTTTTTCTTCTGTTTTTAAATAAACTCGAATTCTGCCCTTGTAGTGGACTGATTGTGTATTGCTACCGCAGGGAGGAAAAAGCCTTTCCCTTCAGATGGATCCTGAGCTGTCACTATCCTACAGGCAGGCACCATGCTAAAGTATCAACTGAGTAATAACTGCACATCTGTCACAGGTCAGGAGTGGAAATAATGTGTTCTCCATTACATCTTATTTACCGTAACTTTACGTTCTCTTTTTTTAAAGCTGCTATGTGGATAAACAAAAAAAGATTTATTAGAATACATGAGCCACCAGGCAGGGTGCTAACATGAGAATGGATCAACATAGAAGGTAAAAAAAAAAAAAAAGAACTTTCCATAGTTTTAGATAAATAAAAAAAATGTACCAAAAATGTAGGCACGTCTTCCACTGAGGAAGCGGTGCCTGGGGACTCTGTGTCAGACCCTCCAATCTCTGGTGCTAAGAACACCAAGATGGTTAAAAAGCTCCTCGGTGGCAGGGCCCCAGGGGTGGACGAGATTTGCCCGAAGTTCCTTAAGGCTCTGGATGTTGTAGGGTTGTGTTGGCTAACGCGACTCTGCAATATTGCGTGAACATCAGGGGAAGATCCCCTGGAATGGCAGACCGGGGTGGTGGTCCTCCTATTCAAAAAGGGGGACCGTAGAATGTGTTCCAACTACAGGGGGATCATGCTCTTAAGCCTCCCTGGCAAGGTCTATTCGGGGGTTCTAGAGAGGAGGGTCCGTCGGATAGTCGAACCTCGGATTCAGGAGGAGCAGTGCAGTTTTCGTCCTGGTCGTGGAACACTGGACCAGCATTACACTCTCAGCAGGGTCCTGGAGGATGCGTGGGAGTTTGCCCAACCGGTCTACATGTGCTTTGTGGACTTGGAGAAGGCGTTCGACCATGTCCCTCGGGGAACCCTGTGGGGGGTACTCTGGGAGTATGGGGTACCGGGCCCTTTGATACGGGCTGTTAGGTCCCTGTATGACCGGTGTCAGAGCCTGGTACGCATTGCCGGCAGTAAGGCGGGCTAGTTCCCGGCGAGAGTTGGACTCCGCCAAGGTTGCCATTTGTCACCGATTCTGTTCATAACTTTTATGGACAGAATTTCTAGGCGCAGCCAAGGTGTTGACGGGATCCGTTTTGGTGGCCTTAGGATTGCATCTCTGCTTTTTGTAGATGATGTGGTCCTATTGGCTTCATCAGATCGTGATCTACAGCTTTCGCTGGAGCGGTTTGCAGCCGAGTGCGACACGGCCAGGATGGAGATCCGTTCCTCCAAATCCGAGACCATGGTCTTGAGCCGGAAAAGGGTAGAGTGCCCACTCCGTGTTAGGGAGGAGGTCCTGCCCCAAGTGTAGGAGTTCAAGTATCTTGGGGTCTTGTTCACAAATGAGGGAAAAATGGAACGTGAGCTCGGTAGGCGGATAGGTGCAGCGTCTGCAGTGAAGCGGGCGCTGTACAGGTCTGTCGTGGTGAAGAGAGAGCCGAGTCAAAAGGCGAAGCTCTCAATTTACCAATCGATCTATGTACCTACCCTCATCTATGTTCATAAGCTTTGGGTTGTGACCAAAAGAAAGAGATCTCGGATACAAGCGGCCGAAATGAGTTTTCTCTGCAGGGTGTCTGGACTCTCCCTTAGAGGTAGGGTGAGAAGCTCCATCATCCGGGGGGGGACTCAGAGTAGAGCCGCTGCTTCTCCACATCGAGAGGAGCCAGTTGAGGTGGCTCGGGCATCTGTTTAGGATGCCTCCTGGACTCCTCCCTGGTGAGGTGTTCCGGACACGTCTCACTGGGAGGAGACCCAGAGGAAGACCCAGGACACGCTGGAGGGACAATGTTTCTCGGATGGCCTGGGAACGCATCGGGATTCACCCAGAGGAGCTAGACTAAGTGGCTGGGGAGAGGGAAGTCTGGGCCTCCCTACTTAGGCCGCTACCCCCGCAACCCGACCCCTGATAAGCGGAAGAAAATGGATGGATGGATGGAAAAAAATGTACCTAGAGAACAAACAAAAAAAAGGTTAAATCATGTCATCTGGACAAGTTTCTTTAAGGGAGAAACGTTATGTCGTCCATCCACAAGACTTAATCAGTATGAGGTCTGCCAACAAATCCGTCTCACAAATAGCACCTCCTTGATGTGTTTCAAGCCAGCCCTCTGTGGAATCCAAAGAAACTAGCTTTACACATGCAAAAAATGGGACCATACATGAAAAACAATCAATCATCATGTATAACAATCAAATATTTTAGGCCAGATGGCAAGTTAGTCAAGTCATCAACTCATGTCATCAACTTGTTGATTCATTCAACTTTTATTTATTCGGGTTAGTCTCATGGCAACTTGAGGACTCATTTACAAGAGACCTGTTTTTAACAAAGAATGATGACAACAGTAGAGAACAGTGACAACAGTAGAGAACAGTGACAACAGTAGACAACAGTGACAACAGTAGACAACAGTGAAGACAGTGACAACAGTAGACAACAGTGACAACAGTAGACAACAGTGACAACAGTGACAACTAGGGGTGGGCGATATGGCTCAAATATAATATTGTGATATATCATAGCATTCTTGTGATAACAATATTTTTTGTGATATAAGCAAAACAAACAAAAAAACAGAAATCAGTTATTTGACAAAATTAACTTAACATGTTGCTTTGCAGTATTATATAAAATTTAAACAAAACAAGGGGTAATTTTACTGAAATTACTTTATTTAGTAAAGTATTCAGTCTCCAAGTATAAAAATAATAATGATCCTTCTGTTATTTAGAAGAAAAAGTGCACAAAATATAGATCAATAAATCCACCCCAAAAACTAAAGTGCAGGTGAAGTTTCCCAAAATAACTAATAAAATAAAGCTTAAGATCTGTTGAGTATAAATGTAACAAAATATATCCATCCATCCATCCATTTTCTTCCGCTTATCCGGGGTCGGGTCGCGGGGGTAGCAGCCTAAGTAGGGAGGCCCAGACTTCCCTCTCCCCAGCCACTTGGGCCAGCTCTTCCGGGGGAATCCCGAGGCGTTCCCAGGCCAGCCGAGAAACGTAGTCCCTCCAGCGTGTCCTGGGTCTTCCCCTGGGCCTCCTTCCGGTGGGACGTGTCCGGAACACCTCACCAGGGAGGCGTCCAGAAGGCATCCTAAACAGATGCCCAAGTCACCTCAACTGGC